TGCCGTAGGATTCTTCGCTTGCCGGAGTCCGGGTTCGCTAAGTACCTGACATAAGACGCGTTGTTAAACAAATAAAAATAACAAGATACTTTATTAGTCCTTTGTACAGAGTAAGTGAGAACGAGTATGTAGATCTTCTGAGAGATGGCGCCAGTTATCGGGTCGCGGTTTCGACAGGCTGCGACAAGTAAGACGGTAGACGGATCGTGTAACGCGATCGCTACACAAGTTTCGGAGATTCGGCGGGCAGTCGCGTGCCGCGGTTCAGCGTTCGCGATTCGCGAGTCGGTTGGTCAGATGGTCGCGGGGACTGAGCGATGTCGGCGGCGGTATGCTCGTGTCGCAGCACGACGTGCGTATTTGTGATCGCGAGGATCAGCGGCGCGGAAGCGCAAGTAATAGCGCAACCGGTTCGTGGCTATCGGGATCGTGAGCGAATAGCCAATGGGCGCGTTCAGCAGACGCAACTGTTGTACAACTGTTGTGTAGATGTCTGCTGAACGCACTTCGCTCAGTTACCGCTACTCAACATGTTCCGGGAGCGGACGCCATTTTTCCCATTAAACTTTTTCTCCGCTACCTACGCGCAACATGTTGCGAAACAAGATGGCAGCGCACATGAGAGAAGAAAGAAGTAAACACTATTAAAATCGTGTATTATAGTATATTTTTTAAAATGAGCTTAAAAAATTGTGATACGTAAATTGTGATATGTAAATCTTGCATCTAGCAATTACCTGTCACACAAGTAAAAATATGCCAATATAATAGAAAAGAGGGCCAGCGATGTAACGAGCATATAGAAATCTTGTATCTCTAGCTGCTTAACTTGAATAACTTCCGAAATACCGGCTTTTTCCGTATCCTCTTTCCTCGAAAGTCTATCAGCTGTACCAATCGAATCTAACCTCTGTCATATTCCAAATAAGTTGCGGTCACGTGACGAGATACACTGAAGTCACGTGACGAGATGTGAGATAAACCGTGTTCAGCCCGTTCAGCAGACACGATTTTCATCACTAAGCGCTACGTATCATTCGCTCAACCGCTTTGCAACTGTTAGGATCTGCTGAACGCACCCAATGTGTCGGTGTAGTCGCGCCCGTTCCCGATAGTGAAGACGCGATAAATAAGGATCGAAAAAGCTCGACAGGGCGCAGCTAACATACTGGCCTCGAGTCTTACTCGTAAGGATCGGAGATCGGATAGGTGCGGATGGCAGAAACGAGTCGGTCGTAATCCTTGCTCTCCGCTTTACAGCATCGAATTCGGTAGACGGTCCGGATCGGTCTAGTTTCGATGATTTTGGAGTCGTGGGTTTTACATTTGCTCCACTTTGTTTCTCTTCGCTTTTTGCGTGCGTAATCGGTCGCATGATAGCGGCGCGCGCTCTTAATCGATCGTGTTTAGATTCGACGCGTGATCGATATCGCACGCTCGTACGTAGCGCGTCCTTTATTTACGCGTTATTGTAATAGGCCTTGCGGCGTTTAAGTGGCGCAACGCGCCGGTGTACAGCCTGACTGGTCGGGTGTTTAACAAATAAAAATAACTTTGTCGGTCAGGCCGGTAATGACGATGCCAGAGTGCATTGTCACACGTTGATAGGCGTATCTCATTACTTTTCGTACAATTCTGTTTAAAAAATGCGAGTGATAATAATACTGGGATGATAGTTAACTAATTCATATATTAATAATTTATTTTATTTTATATTTCAGAAAAATTAAAAAAATAGAGCAAGCCGGAATCGAACGCATGATCTCGGGCGTTCTAGTCGCACTCCCCACTCGCTGTGCCACGCTGGGCTATGTTCAGATTCCCTACTCGAGTGTATTCTATTACTAGAAGTGCTATAGTATATGTAACATATACTATAGTGTTTCTAGTAATAGAGTGCACCCGGATGAGGAATCTGAACGCAGCCCTGGCGTTTGAATTTCGCTCCTATTTAAGCGATTCTTTAGCCGCACGGCAAACTTTCAACTTCGATTTCTCGTAAACTAGCACTCATTGGCAACAATCATACAAGCTGTGTTTACAGGAATAGGATTACTACAACATATATAAAGATTAGCTAAATCTAACACGGCGCGTTTAGACAGTTTGGTCAGTAGTTGTCACTAGTTCGGATATAAATCATATCACAGATACGAACTATATATCGTTACCCCAGTCAGAACTATAACGTTGATTCAAGGTTGATTCGACGTCGAAATGATCGATTAGCCGTTGAGTCAATGTTGATTCAATCCTCATTGACGTCGAATCAACCTTGAATCAACATGTGGTTTTGACTGGATACCGAGCGTGTAATCGACGTAATTGATGTCCGTTTTGTCAAGGAGCACATCAGGATAAACATGTTTCGCCCGGTGGTCGCTCTTAGATTTCTTTTTGCTAGTGGACAGATTACTCTCTATTTAATTCATACATAAAGACTTGATTATTGAAGGTTACTAGATCTTTCTTACGTCAAATAATTTTTAACGAATTAGCAGTGGCAAGACTACGATTTCCGGAGCGCCAAGTTTTGACAGCAGATTCTGCATCTATAAACGATTATAAAGAAAAGTGAAAAGGTGATGAAAGTGGCTATCTGCTTTATTTTAGGAGATATAGAGGTTTTTAGTTGTAAATTTAGAAATCAACGACGTATTATTTGCAGACTATTTTCGCGTTATCCAGAATGCACCACGTGGAGGTATAGCCTGCTTCGCATTTTGTATGTGTAAATATAAGTATGTAAGTGTATAAGAGTATGTGTGAATATGCGTGTATGTACGTACGTTTGTTATGACACGGATAAGGATCCCACAATTCGTCACTCCTGCAGTATTTACAGACTCCAGACTCCCAGCTATATGTAAGAATGTATAATATATATATATATATATATATATATATATATATATATGTGTGTGTGTGTGTGTGTGTGTGTGTGTGTGTGTGTGTGTAAATTTTGGCAAAAATAATAATTCTAAATCTTCGCCTTACTAAATTGATTGAATGAGTTTACAATATACTAAAAATGTATACTGAAAAGATTAGCGAAGCCCTTATGCAAGATAGAATGAATCATAAATATATCTATCTTTCTATTCTAAATTTTCGCCTTACTAAATTGATGAGCCTACAATACTCAGATAGCCAAACCTGCGCGAACAGATTTTGCACAGTCTGTCAACAGTGTCTATAGACAGAATGGCAACAGATTGCACACAGAATCTGTTCTGACGACAGATTGGTGACAGACTGCGCGCAGAGCCTATCGACAGACTCTGACGACAGACTGACGACAGACTGACGACAGATTGCGCGCAGATTCTGCTTCCTAGATAGGCTAATTAATTTAATTCTATCAAGGGCCATATATACGCTATTAAATGGGGCAGTTTCACATACACACCATGTAAAACTTCGAGAGGAGTCAAGATGATTATATTGTGCAATAATTGTACACATATACGCAATAAAAACAATTTTTATTTTTTAAAATTGTATTACACATTTCTTATAAAAAAGCAACAATAATAGAGAAATAACAAGTATAAGTATAAAATAGTACAACGGTTAAATGGCCATTTAAAGACGTACATATACCATCCCTGGTAAAAATTGTTCTCATAATTTTTCATACAATTTCTCATATTATTATTTTTTTTTAATGTTATTGTGTCATTAAATCTGAACGATTTAACCGTCATGCAATAAGTACTGAAGGCAGCAGCACCGAATAAAATATCAGTCTCGCCATGTAAATAACTTTTACAGAATTTTTGTGATGGTTTATTTGAAAATATATGCTTCGATTTTGATAAAATTTAATACAACCTGAACTGGACGATCAAACAAATTAATTCGCATATGTAAAAGCGCAGTATTTTATTATCATGATGGAAAAATGTCATTATCTGCTGTTTTATTGCAGTAATTTTCTATACAGTCCTTGGTAGAAAATTAATTTCGAATTATCGTGCCGGTCTCTCTTACATTATTTATACGCTAAACGGTTTCGTCTATATTTTGCGGTTTAAAAGGCGAACAAACTCTAAGATTTTTCTTTCTTAAACTTTAAGTGGACAATATAAAGTACTTTTTATCAAGTGAGAAATTGACGTAGTGTCTAAGGCGACGGACGATTATCTAAAAGATATCTTCGGTTCAAGTTCGAATCTCACCAGAGAAAATCTTAAAAATTATGAAAAAATCATATAGAAAAACTTTTTTCATTATATTTTATGAGTATTTATGAGTATTTAGGAGAAAGCGCTTATTCTATGAGTAATTATGAAAAATTATGAGAAAATTTTCTACCAAAAATTTAATTGATGAACCTACGAAACGACAGGATCTACACGCAATTTGTGCGCAATCTGTCGTCAGAGTCTGTCGGCAGGTTCTGCGCGCAATTTGCCGCCAATCTGATGTCAAAGCCTATTAGCAAACTCTGTCAGCAGTCTGACGGCAGATTGGGAACGCAGATGACTATGGACAGTCGACAGATCCTGTTGCCAATCGGACGCCAGTCTGCGCACAGATTGCTTACTAGGTATAAAAATGAATATTAAAAAAATTAGCATAGCGTCTATGTAAAGTAAGACTTATTATGAATACCTCTCAAAAGCATTGTATGTGTTTGAAATGCTATAGAATTTAATTTTTCTTTTTATAAATGTTATTTTTGTACTACCGAGGGGGCTTTGCCTCCTGTACCCCCTCTGATGTTCTTTCTTCTATATTAAAAATCGAAAATAATTAAAACTAATAAAAATATATTTATGTTGATTTTGAAAATTCCAACTAAAAACCTCTATATCTTGTAAAGTAAAGGAGATAGCCACTTTTATCACTCTTTAACTTTTGTTTATAATCGCTTGTAGATGCAGAATCTGCAGTCAAAACTTGATGCTCCGGAAATCATCCAGATCAGTAATCAGTATCCCCGAATTAGTTTTTATTGCATTTAATTATCTAATGCCCGTTGTAATCACTTTCAGATTCTTCTAAATCCACACCTATTATGTCGACCAACGTTGTTGCATTTTTACTATTAAATAAGTTTAGAGACGGTTGTACGTTAGATAAATTAGTCCAGGCGTTTGATTTGATACAAAAGGAGTTATCAATAAAGAATGATGTAGCGTTTTGTGGGGAGAGCATTGATATCATTAAACATGCGGTTAGTATTCAGTAAGAAACAAATAAAACAAATAAAGTTTATTAAGAAGAGATGATTTTTCATAATGTACAGCTGGATATCTTGGGTCCTGGTTTAGTAACACAACAGCGACAGGAGATTACTGACGTCGACAATCAATCTATCAAATCTATCGTTGTCACCGCAATCCGTCCCGTATCAATTGTACCGAACGTAATAGAGCTCTCCTACTACAGCAATACCATATTGGTACACTATGTTATGGATAGCATAATAAGTAAGGCGTAACCAACAATCAGCGTGTGTTTTCTATTGCAATTTTGTAACGCATTCTATATTATATTTTGCAGTAACTGCTTTGTATGCTGAATTGCAATCTCAAATTAACGATCCTGTCGCAATTGCCGAAAACAATATTACAGTGTATGAACAAAATTTGATCGAACGAGCGCTCAAATTATGCGACATTCTGAAGTATGAATTTATTTTTTGTAAGCCATGTCAGGAATTAACAAAGGTGATTTTTGAAACGATAGAAAAGATATCAGAAACAGGGCTTATCACTAAGGAGGAGGTATGACATTTCAACAAACCAAGGATTTTTTGCTTAAATAAATACAAAAAATAACTGTTTTTATACAGAACGTTTATCATGAAAGACTGGCGACCCGAAAATTATCAAAAAAACTCTTTTTTGATGATATCGATCCTTGGTGCGAGGAGTTCCTGACGAAAAAGGCAATTGAAACAACGCAATATAAAGTAAGTTTATCCTAATGTTTCTTATAAACACAAGTTTATTTTTTGTACGAAAACATACAAACGAAAAAATATGAACACATTATCATTAATAAAAAACTAATACTACGTAATAATTAATGTACAAAATACTAATACAAAATGTTATGTATTAATATTTTTTCATATAAAAAAAAATGAATAAGATCATTTTATAGTTGTGTATTTCTGATAATAATAATATAATTATATTTCATATTCATGCATTTTATATTATTTTTAGCTGAGTTTAATGCCGGAACATTCCACGCACATGGAATTTTTGCATACGATATTACGATCATTAATCGATACGTACATATGCAGTGCCTTTAATTTAAGGAAGTTGGTCGGTCACTCACTCTGTGAACGAGATTTAGTACAAGAAGTATTGAACGAGATCAAAACAAATTTAGATCGTGGTATAATCAGTTACGGTGAGTTGCAATCCAATGAAATTTCAATCTTAATTAAAATGAAATATATTTTAAGAGTTTGATCTTTTTTTTTAACGGTGATAATATATAAAAATGTATTTCACTACCACACACATAAATGAGAAAATAAAATATTTTTTTTATTTATCAAATATTTCAAGAACAAAATTATTTCATAAAAAAATGTTTGACAAAAGTTGTTTATTTATTGAGGGAGACAATAGACTATGAAATATATGTAACTCTGCATGTATCCTTATTAAAATTATCTTGAATTTTTTTAATAAAATAATTTAAAATGCATAAAGAGAATGAACTATATACAGGGTGTCTCAGATCACCTTCACAATCTCTCGTGAGGACGTAGAGAAGATTGAGATGAACACAAAAGTCCCATATCATTTTGCGATATTCGCAATAATAGTCGAGATATTAATTGAAGATTGATGAATGATCACGCGCGATATGGTAGATGAGCAGTGATACCGTCTGCCGTTGTATATTTATACATTAAGTCAAACTGAACAAAAAAGTCCTCTACCATTTTGAAAATAACCACATAGATTTTTAGATATTAATTAAAGAAAATTGTTACATGATTATGTACCACAATGCACAAATTTTCTTTTATTAATATCTAAAAATCTATGTAGTCATTTGCAAAATGGTAAAGGACTTTTTTGTTCAGTTTGACTTAATGTATAAGTATACAACGGCAGACGGTGCCACTGCAGCTCATTTACCATATCGCGCGTGATCATTTACCAATCTTCAATTAATATCTCGACTATTATTGCGAAATCGCAAAATGATATGAGACTTTTGTGTTCATCTCAATCTTTTCTACGTCCTCGTGAGATATATATGAGTCTAATCGCGGTTTTTTGTGGTATGACTCTGTTAATTATATATTTATTATTACAGAAGGATTAAATTGTTTTGTTGCAAGTCAAATGCATGCGTCGAAATTTTCTTCGGTGATTTCAAACGTACGCGAAGAATCAATCTTTCTTGCACAAACTATCTTTTTATTTCCAATTAATACGGTTTTAAATTCTCTTTTTCCTAATTTTCAGACGAATATTATTAGGTGGTTGCATATGAAATCGCCCGTTGGCAATAGATGACGTTAGGTACACTATTTCTTCGAATGGAAGCAATACACATAATGACAGGTCTACAGAGTCCCGCCATAGGTGACATTTGTGCCACGTGTTAACATCATCTATTTGATTGTGTTTACAATGGCAAGTTTTGTTCCAAATAAGCAGTGTTGTAACAGATACATGTTTTAAAGTAGCTAGATATAGATACAGATACAATAAGAAAAGTGTAGCTAGATGAAGATACAGATATGAATTTCATATGAATAACTAGGTGTAGATACAGGTACTTTGAGAATATATCTAAATCTCTTCTAGAATATATCTAAATCTAAATCTAAATCTAAATTCTAGAATATATCTAAATCTCTTCAGATACTTTTCAGATACTTCGATTATGGAGCGCTCAGTAAGCTCTTACATTTCATTAGTACATATTTTTAGATCTAAAAGAATATGCCGATGGGATACAAGAGCTCACTGAGCGCTCAGTGAGCGATTGTAGTACTGAATGCACCCAATGGGCGCGTCCAGCGGAAAAAACGCTCAGTGAGCAATCAGCGATTACTGGTTCTTACTGTTAGATCTCTAAACCTATAATTTCATTGACGAATTACGCTACTATTGCGAACTATTGAGTTCGCTGAACGCATTCAATAAAGCAACCATGGTGTAAGAATATAATAGTTACGTTCCGTTTACACATTATACGCGCATTCCCTACAGTATACGTGACGTAAACTATAGATAAATGCACGCATATACGTGAAACGGAACGCGGCCAAGGTGTTTCATTGCTTATCATGAAAGTGGGAGTAGAATCACAAAGTTACCACAAAATATACTATGTTAACGTTACGTTTGATGAGAGCCATTGGGTTTTTCGCATTTGTGACAACTTTCTGATTGGTAGTTACTGCGCATCCACCGGAATGCATCACCTTATATTCTTACACCATGGAAACAACTTTGTCTCTTATGAAAAAGTAACAATTATATAAAAATTACCAAAATTGCATTTTATTTCGTATCTGTATCTAAAATGATAAATTTAGATACAGATACGAAATAAAATGTAACTAGATACAGATACAGATTTTTAAATGAAAAATATAACTAAATATAGATATAGATACACAAAAAGTATCTAGATACTTCAAAAAGATACATGTATCTAGGTACGTTACAACACTGTAAATAAGTCACATTTGCAGGAAGTTATGCTCCTTTATTTCCTGGCAAAGAAATCGCCCGTGGAAACGCATCGCTAGAGGAAGTGCTGAACATGCTCCATCGAGTACAACGTGCAAAGAGTGATTTCGCCGCTTCCAAAGTGGTAATTTCTATGGACAACAATTGTCTAAGGACAAGGACCGCGGCAAACCACCCAAAAAATTTGAGGATACGGAATTGGACGCATTATTGGACGAAGACTCAAGCCATCACTGGGGATCGTTATCGACTGCAACTGATCCGTTTGAAACGAGCTTTGCACAAGAAAAAGCCAGAATGGGAGAATCGCCACGACAAGTTGATTTTGCAGCACGACAACACCAGGCTGCACGTTGCTCAACCAGTCAAGAAGTACTTAGAAGGAGTGAATTGGGGAATCCTACCCCACCTGCCATATTCCCCAGATATCGCTCCCTCCGATTACTATTTGTTCCGGTCGATGCAGTCAACGCTTACGGCACAGCACTTCACCTCATACGGAGTCAAAAAATGGCTGGATGTCTGGATTGCCTCCAAAGAACCCGAATTCTTCCTGGAATTTCATTGTTGGCCAAAAGATGACTAAGATTCCGATGGGCAATATTTTAAATAAACCAGTTCATCGATTTGCTACCAAACCACTGTTTTCTTTCGCTCAAAAATGGGCGGTTTCATATGCAACCACCTAATAATTAATTCATTAATTAGGTTTCTTATTTGTGTTATGAAAAATAATGCCTCAACTTTTGTATATACACTGCTGTTCATAGAAATTGCAACACCAAGAAAAACTTGTCATAATAGTGAAATTTATGTGAGAGATCTAATAGGACAAGGTATAAATGATTACAATTTCAGACTTGTATGTGATGAGGAGGATTAAAAAATTAATAATTTGTTAATCCACTACGAACAGTGATAACACACTGTACACAACATGGCATCGATTGAAAGAGATTTTGTATGGTCGTTTATGGAATAATCGTCTACGCTGCTTCAAGACGCATCCACAAGTCGTTAGTGGTAGCAGGCGGTAAGGGTAGATGAGCCAGTCGATATGTCATCGTATTCCACACATTTTCAATTGGCGATAGATCTAGCGAACGAGCAGGCCAAGGAAGAAATGCGACGTGTTGCTTGCAGAAGATATGTTGAACATTACGGGCAACATAAGGTCGGGTATTGTCCTGTTGATAGATAGCCAGAGATCGTCCGAAAGGTAGCAGCTTCCACGACGTCAGTGACATATCGTTAACTGTTCAATGTACTAGCAATACATAAAAGGCGAGAACGTGCATTAAAAGCAATAGCGCCCCAAACCATCACGCTTGGTGTAGGACCGGTATGACGTTACAAAATGCAATCTTCTGAGTGCCGTTGTTCACGACATCTGCGAATAAGTATTCGGCCGTTGTGATGTATAAAATTGAATCTTGACTCATCCGAAAACACGACTCGCTCCCATTCAGCAATCCAGTGCTGTCGTTCTTGACACCATTGCAGCCGCTGACGTCTATGGTGCAGAGTCAAGAGAAGTTGTAGCAATGGACAGCGAGCTATTAGCCCTCTTTGCAATAATCGGCGATGAACAGTGCTTGCGAACATCTTCAGACGTATTACCAATCTCCATTGTTGCGCCAGTCGTTGTACGATCTGTCAATATTATACAAATTAGGTACCTGTTTTCTCGTTCGGCCGTGCAAGTTTGCGCTCCAGACCCTTGACGACGACGTGTAGTATCTTCTTCGCTCCATTGACGTCATATACGCATGACAGTACTGGCGTTTTGTCCAACGCGTATAGCAATATCGCGATATGAAAAATTAACTTCTCTGAGCCCGACGATTCTTCCTCTTTTAAACTCCGTCATTTGTTCATAATGTTCTCTAGTTCTGCGACGTGGCATGTTTATGTTTTAGAAACAATATACTGATCGAATTTATTAATAGATAGTTTGAAAACGCACACTTTGTGCCAATACTTTATATCCCTTACGTGATGGTATAATAACGTTGCGCGCGCATCACGTATGCATATGGTCTGAAGTTGTAATCATTTGAATCTCCCATGGTGGCCTACTCATTAAAGAAATTTCACGCCAATGCGACATGTTCTTCATAGTGTTGCAATTTCTATAAACAGCAGTGTATAATTAGCGGTCAAACACCCGCGATTAAGCTCTTATAATTCGTTCTCTGTGCATTTCTAGATTATTTCTTAACCACTACATTAGCAGAGAAAATGAGCATCAACCGACTCAAAAATGGCAAGATCTAAATGTTGTTTGATTTTTATAAAAGTCAGTACTAAAATACTTTTCGAGTCGCTGAATATAAATTTGAGATCAAAATTTGAAAGATCAAATTAATATCAGATTTGAAATCAGCGACCCTAAAAAACCTCCAAATACCGAGTTTCATCCAAAACGTCATTTTTTTATTTGGTCCGCCATATTGGATCCGCCATCTTGAATTTGACAAAACTAATCTCAGATTCGAAAGCAACGACTCCAAAAACTTCTAAATACCAGATATTTCATCATAATCAAGTCATTTTTTGCATTTTGGTCCGCCATATTGGATCCGCCATCTTGAATTTGACAAAACTAATCTCAGATTCGAAAGCAACGACTCCAAAAACTTCTAAATACCAGATATTTCATCATAATCAAGTCATTTTTTGCATTTTGATCCGCCATATTGAATCCGCCATTTTAAATTTTCAAATTTAGAGTTTAAATTCGAAATCATCGATCCCAAAAACTACTGGGTATTGAGTTTCTTACTAACGGGAAAAAAATAAAATGATATGCACATTAATACGTCAATAGGCGCGTTCAGCGGAAAAAGCGCTCAATGAGCAATCAGCGATTATTGGTTCTTACTGTTAGATCCCTATTCTAAATCTAGATCAATTACATTGACGAATTGCTCAATTGTTGTGCAACTGTTGAGTTCGTTCCACCCAATGCTAGCGAAGTGGTTAAAGAGTGTTTATATACAGAGTGTCCGACTCGTACTGTACCAAAGCTAATATATAGTTAGAATATATGGGGTGAGTAATGGGAATCGGTGTCTTTTTTTAAACAATCACATAAAATTTCGAGTTATTAAATGAAATAGATGGGCTAATCAGAGCGCGCGACATACGGCTTGCCACGGCCGGCGAAGAAAATGGACGATTGCTCGCGGGCTAATCTTATAAGCCAGAGAAGTGGGCCACAATATTCGTAACGGTCACTGTGAAAAGAATAACGCGTGCACGAAAGAAAGAGATGAAACGTCTTATATCTGTTTCCTTTCCGAGCAATCGGAAAATTTCTTCGTCTGCCGCGTTGCGTATGTTGCGCGCTCTGATTAGCCCATCTATTTTATTTAATAATTCGAAATTTTACGTAGTTGTTTAAAAAAAGACACCGATTACTCACCCCGACGTATTCTAACTATATATTAGCTTTGGTATAGTACGAGTTAAACACCCTGTATACTTAATTACATAGAATAATTGATTTTTTTTTAACATAAATCGAGTTTTCTGGTCATATAGTGTATAAAAGTATCGAGGTAAGAAATATTGAAAAGCGAATATTTTTTGAATAATTTTACATTTTATCCTTATATTTTTCAATATGAGATATGACATATCTCGTATCAAATTCAGTATCAGAATATCAAATTCGATGACCTCATTTTAATTACGAGGCTATTTTATTTATTTATTTTTTTATATTTATTTATCTTCTTATTTGGGATATCCTGTACATATAATGTGTCTCTAAGTCATTAACATTTTGTCTTGTAAAGCATAAAGAAAAGTTTGTAATACACATGTTTGTAACACACATGTTTATTTATTTATTTTAATTTAGTTTGATAACAGTTTGTGTGAAAATTAACTTTTTAATTATATTGTAAAATTTTTTGTCATAGTTTTGTATTACATGAAAGTGTCTTTCTGTCTATAAAATAAAATTAATACAAAACTAATACTACGTAATAATTAATGTACAAAGTACTAATACAAAATGTTATGTATTAATATTTTTCGTATAAAAAATAATATATTTGTCTTATATTAAATTTGCTTATTTATAATAAATATTAAAATATTTTTTATATTAACAAAATATCATATTTTTTTGTTTTTATAGGAGAAAGTTTATGCGTCGATCCAATAAAGAATTCTTTTAAGCTTTTTGAAAAGTGGAACATCGTAGAATGCTGCATGCAGGAGAACCTTAAAATGTTTTATTTGAAAGAGGAGTATAATACAGACAAAGCAACAGAAGATCTATATGATACCATAGCGGCTTTCAAATGGACCAGAAATATGAAATAAAAACATAAATCTGTTTCTATTCTAATCAAAAAATGTCTTTCTAAATCACTATTCTTTTTTTTTATGGATTTTCATATTTTGCAAAAAGATTTATAAAAATGATTTCTTTTTTCTCTTTATTTTTCTAGTAGTAAAAGATGGGATCAGATATGTTATAAATAATTGATAGTGATTATCTATGTATAGTACTATTGTAGATCATTGTAGAGTATATGTATATACAAAATGCTATTATGTAATATACTCTATAATAATCGATATCATGTGCATTGTAAATTCACATCTTTCTAAGATTTATAAATAAGAGAAAAGTAGTAATATAGTGCCTCTTTAGATAGTATTTTTCCTATAGTATTACGATGAGATTTCTCATGCAATCTTCTGTCGGTTACGGAATCTCTGCAACAACTTTAAAAGAAACGAAATAACTCATCTGAAATTAATAGCATTAAGCGCTAGATACAATAACATCGAACTGACGGTCGCGACACTAAGTCTCAGGATCGTTAGGATTATAAGGGGCACATCTATGTGGTGTCTACCAAAGATGCGTTCGGGAAACGCGTTAATCAGCGCTAACGCGTAATTCAATCCTTGTTATACAATGTACATACAATATACAATCGGCCGAAATGTGCAAACTATTTTGAACACACGACACTCCCCATTCTCGACTACTAACCAGACAAAGACAAGAGAGGAAACTCTCTCTCATCCCACAGTACTCAAGAGGCAGCGCGCGTTCCAGATAGTATATATTTCAGTGGGTTAAGTAGCTGTTGGAAACCAGTAAAACAGTGCTCGGAATACACCTATTTCGGCTGATTGTATATTGTATGTATATTGTACAACAAGAATTGAATGACGCATTAGCGTTGATCAACGCGCTTCCCGAATGCGTCTTTGGTAGGCACCACATAAATGCGCCCCTTATAATCCCAACGGCTCTAAGACTTGGTGTTGCGTCTGTCAGTTGCAAGGCCCACTGCGCGGTAAGAAGAAGATAGAAGTCATAGCTCTCGAGAATCGGCCTAAATGGGCAAACTATTCCGAGTACAGGTATAAAGATTAGTTTACTCGTGGTCAGAGCTCGCCCACGTTCCCAATGCCACGAGGTGGACGCCGTTCTTGAAAGGAATGGACTACCACTAGTTGTCTTAACAATATATGTATTTCGACTTGATTATTACAAGTGCTCTTCACAGGTGTTCAAGAACTTCTCTTTCTCTGTTCTTTGCGCATACTCAGATTCCGCTAGTTAACTTACATACTCTACTTACGTACTCTACGTCAGTAAACTCAACCTATATTGAAATGCTTACTGCAATGCTTAGAAGCCGAATACGAAAAGAAAGAGGTAGGTTGCTGAAGACACCGCTTTTTTCTCTGTCTAGTGATTTTTAATTGGTTGAAAACTTCTATGCTTTTTTCTGTTTACAATTATCCTTCACAGAAATATTTCTTTCTATTTTTATTGCGTTCCGAAATTTACTGCCAGTACTGGAAATTTATAGTTTATGTCACATATATCATAAATTTTCAGTACTGGCAGTAAATTTTAGAATTCAGCCTTTATAAATAAGTTATGAATATCGTCTCTAAACCACAGACTTCTATAGGTGCGTTCGGGGAGCTCGCTATTAGTACTATTCAGCGCTACCGTATTATTCTATTGTTGTTTATCTAAGGAACGATAAAGATAGAAGAACGCGATAGCGTTCTCCTCGAACGCGCTCTATATAATATTTATATACTATTTACTGCTCTGTATAATATTTACTGCTAAATAAGTATAGTTTAGTTAAGGATTGTTTGGTCGAAAAAATATTGTCTGCTACCTTTGAAAGGACCTCACATACGTGACTTGAGTGGCAATGTGTGAGTGGAAGGAAGCAATATGTGCGTGTCATTACTACTTCTATATCAGAGCTCGGAATTAGTTGCCCATTTCGGCCGATTCTTGGGAACTACGCCTTCTATCTTCCCTTTGCCGCGAGCGGGCCACTAAAGTGACGGTCGCGGCCAGTCGCGGTTTCAAACTTGGAGGCGCGACCGTCACTTTGGTGGTTCGCTCGCGGCAAAGGGAAGATAGAAGGGCCGAAATGGGCAACTAATTCCGAGCTTTGTCCTATATGATACGATCCTTTTAAAAATGTCTGCCCAATATTTTTCTGACTACTCGGGTACTTTCTGAAATACGAGTATTAGCAGTCTAGTATATATATAGAAGTCTGTGCTCTAAACCCAAACCGCTTACCAAATCCAAGCCGATGTTTTCAGATCGAATAGTACAACAATAGAAAAAGAGAAAACGGTCCCTCTTTTCTCTTTCACTCGACCCGTTTCTTCCCATTTGACTTAGCATTTCCGTATATTTCACTACTCTACGTTTCTCATGGCGAAAAATTCTAATTAAAATATGTTCCTAGGCGGAGTCTACATACTCTCCTCTGAGTATTAACGTTATAATACATATATACGTTATAATACATATAATACGTTATAATACATATAATACGTTATAATACATATATATTGGGAGTACAAATATGTCTTCGCCGTTTTTTATCAAAAATTGGGCATTTATTGTGAAAGAACGGTACCTTATATTTTATTCAAAGTATTGTCCATCGCTAGCCACTACTTTTTCCCATCTTTCTGGCAACATACGAATACCGCGTCGAAAGAACGCTTCATCTTTTGAGGTTATCCACGAATCGACCCAATTTTTGGTATCTTCATATGATGTGAAGTGCTGCTCAGACAGGATGTGCGTCATCGATCGAAACAAGTGATAGTCAGAGAGAGCAATGTCTGGTGAATACGGCGGGTGGGGTAAAACTTCCCAATTGAGTGTTTCCAAGTAGGTTTTGACCAGCGCCGCAACATGTGGACGAGCATTATCATGTAGGAGAATAATTTTGTCGTATCTGGAGTAGTAGTGGGCGCGTTTTTCCTTGAATGCTCGGCTCAATCTCATCAATTGTGTTCCCCAGTAATGGTTTCGTTCGGTTTGAGCAACTCATAATACACGACATCAAGCTGATCCCACCAAATACACAATATGAATTTTTTTCCATGAATATTCGGCTTGGCTGTCGATATTGAAGCATGGCCACGTGGTCCCCATGATTTCCTCTTCTTTGGGTTATCGTAGTGGATCCATTTTTCATCACCAGTGACTATACGATGCAAAAAAACTCTTTCGTTTATGCCTGGCAAGCAGCATTTTACATGTACAAAATCGACGTTCAACGTTTCTCGGCTTCAGTTCATATGGAACCCAATTTCCTTGCTTTTGAATCATTCCCAACGATTTTAAACGATATGAAATTGCTTGTTGAGTCACTCCTAATGTAAGTGCAAGTTCTTCTTGCGTTTGACACGAATCTTCCTCCAATAATGTTTCCAATTCCGCGTCTTCGTACACTTTCGGCCTTCCGCTACGTTCTTTATCTTCGACGTCAAACTCACCGTTCTTAAACTTTTGAAACCACTCGCGACAACTTCTCTCACTTAAAGCAGCCTCACCATATGCTTCTACAAGCAATCAATGCGCCTCAGTTGCAGATTTCTTCAAATTAAAGAAGTAAATCAAAAGTTCCCGCAAATGACGCTTATTCGGCTCAAAACTCGACATTTTCGCACGAAAAAAATTATGTGATGCTGATACAAAATCGTTAATATTTCAAGGTTATGGTGTTACCAGATGTCCAACCTTACGATATGACGTTTTACATCTGACAATTTCAACCATAACTTACTGTTGGGGCCATCTTTTGTCAAACGGCGGAGACTTATTTGTACTCCCAATAAATTAATATTTACAATGTGATTGCGCTTAGGGAATTAACATAACATTGCAACAATAGATATGTATACAAGTAATCCGCAGAAATTTAGTGGAACATCAAATATGTAAAATCTAAATACTTAATTGGTAGGTAGAAATAGGGTGAAAAACGAAAAGTTGAGAATGTAGTTTGCATAACTTAAATTAAACGTAACACGTTTTAGAGTACGAGAATAAGCTTTAAGTGTACTACGTTGTATAACGACGTGAATCATGTGGTCGCTGGTTAATTTGCGTTCGTAGAATTAAATACATCTAATGAATTTGGTATAAAATGGGCAGGTTTCAATCTTTTTACCGATATATTTTATGGTATACCGTTAACTTCTATAGAGAAAACTTTGTCCGAGACGCGCTTTAAGACCCTAAAGGGACCAGTATACGGTCTGTCAAGACTTTTTAACCGAGTTTAATCGTATGAAAACGTGAGAACACGAATGCAAATCCTTAAAATAAAATGAACATTTTTTATAGTGATGTTCTACGGGTACGGGTTGAATCTGACGCATATATTGTCTGATATCTTTTATAAAGATTTATGAATCCGATATCATTCTCTTGAATGAAAAATTCGCTAAGTATACATAAAGTCGTATCATATACGAACTCCGCAAGTTAAGCACCAGTATCTAAAGTATATGAATACGTAGGCCAAATAAAACCGTGAACAATACATTAACCCAATTTGGAACATTGTGGCACATAATCGTTGCCTTGAGAGATCGATGCCAGCGTTTGATTAAGCCATTAGATGATATGCCGTAAGAATTCTTTTACAGCCTGTAAAGGATAGCAAGGCCGTAAATAATTATAATTTGAATTGATCACCTTGATCGGTTGTTAGAACTCGAGGAGCTTTGAATCGAGCAACCCAGTTATTATAAAATGTTCTAGATACGATTTGTGCCAAAATATCGAGAAAAGGAATTGCTTCAGGCCAGCACAAAAAGCGGTCGATAAAACTAAACGGTTAGACAATACTTATAGTTACTACAGATAGGTAACGGGCCGATAATGTCCATGTGTACGTGTTCAAAACATATCAGGTACGGTGAATTGTGCCAGAGGCTGTTTAACTGTCTCAAATCCTTAGATTGTTGACAATCTAAGCAATTGGTAGCCCACGTCGCGACATCGCGATACATGTGTGGCCAAATGTATCGTTGACGAATGACTTGATCGGTAACTTTTGCACTAGGATGCGCCGGGTTGTGAAATAAATAAAAAACGCGCTTTCATAGGATGACTGGAATAAAGGGACGAATTGATTTCCCGGTTAAGTCGCAATAGAGCTCTGTTTGAGGAAATCCCCAAACAAACCTGTTGAGTTTTAAAGTAAATTTAGAAGAAGTTAACAAGTATTTTAATTTCGCGTCTTCTCTTTGGCTATCTGTTCATTCCGTGAGGTCAAGTGGAAGGGTTAAAGTTTCGATTTGTGATAAACTATCTGCTATTACGTTGTCTATTCC